TTTTCAAGGTTGCTGCATGAGTGAGTTCAAAATCTTGATTCGACTTACCGAGAATTTTCTTTCTTGAATGAAGGTGTATAAGCGTGGAGCTGTCGGGAGGTCGATTGATATAACACGCTATTCGGGCTATGATGATCTGAAGCAAGATCTAGCACGTAGGTTTGGTATAGAGGGACAGCTCGAGGATCGGCAGAGGATTGGCTGGAAGCTCGTTTATGTGGACCATGAAAACGATGTCCTCCTAGTTGGCGATGATCCATGGGAGTACGTATATTTGTATACTCTCATGCGGTTATTTATACTGTTAATCATCGTGTCTGAATTTTTTTCTTAACAAAAAACCAAAATGTTGCCTTTTTTGCAGGGAGTTTGTGAGCTGCGTGCGTTGCATCAAGATCCTTTCTCCTCAGGAAGTCCAACAAATGAGCCTCGATGGAGATTTTGGGAGTGGTGTTCTTCCGAACCAGGCTTGTAGCAGTTCGGACAATGGTGTCAACTAGTTGTACAAAGGGTATTTTAGTCATCTTCTCATTCCCACTTGCTCCCTGCTTTTTATACTACGGAAAAGCTTAGTTTTGAGCCCATCTATGAGCCGTGATACTCGGGAAGGACTTTGAACACCATGCATTCGGACAAGAAGAGCAGGGAATGAAGATTAAAGAGTAGACCTCAAAGCAAAGCATCTTTGACAAGCTTTATTTGTTTCTTTTTTTCCTTTTTTTTTTTTTTTTTTTTTTTTTTTTCTTTTNTTTAAGTGATGGAGCTGTGACTTTGGTATTGTAGTGTAAGTAGAAGTAGGTAAATCCGAGACATTTCTACTTTCGTAGCTTTCGTGGTCTTCGTCCTCTTTTCTTAAATAGAAAATGATCTGTTAACACCTGATTTATGCCAAGTTGTATTGTAGAAAATGAGGTTAAAAATCCTTATGCATGATGTATTTTGTTATTCTTCTTCTTGTAACTGTACATAAGACTAGAAGATGTCTTCCTACAAGCAATTCCTTTGTTCCAAAGAAATGCAGCTTTGTATGAATGGAGACAGACACTATTGTGATTGTCAGGGGTCTTTGTTTGCAGCCCAACACTGGCCAGCTAATCGACGTTTGGGTTCGGTCAATACTTCGGAAAGAAAACGAGCGGGGTCAAATCAGGGACATGCACTCTTGACATGATAGAAATGTGATGCGATTTTATTACAAACATTGCATCTATTTGTTGTTATTACGTTTTTATGTTGTTAAATGAATTTTAACCAACTTTTATTTGTTTTTATTTGTTTTTGCTTCTTATGACTATCTTCATAAAGGCAAGTGAGACAAGGCTTCATAACAGTTGTTGTGACTGCTAACGATATGAATTTACACCAAAACAGATGAGAATATTACGGCTTTCCAAACTGAGATGTAGAAAGAAGTTGTTCGTTCAGCACCTCAGTCTAGAATAACGAGAAGACTGATCACAATTTCCCACAGGTAAGACAATGAACATCAAACAAACAGTGTTTGACTGAAGTTTCATCTTGGCACGAGCCATTTGCATGAAAACCAGTGCAATATAAGACATTCCTATATACTGATTTCAGCTTCGGTAATAAAAAAAGAGATTCACTAATTTCAAAAATAAATATGACGTATAAAGCTACAGCTTAGGAATCATCTTTCGAAAATAAACTTCAGGCTCAACTATACCCAAAAATTCAACTCGGAAAGAAGCCGGCTGGCACAGAGCTTCGAGTGCAACTATAGAAACATTATTCGTTTCTTCAGGCCTTTCTTGAAAGGGAACATTGAAAAATGCAGGGACTTGCAGAGCAAGAGACTTGCCTTCTTCAACAATTACTTTGTTGAGAAAAGAAGGTATTATTAGAGGGAAATCATAACATTTGAAATATGTTGACCTTCAAGTTCTCCTCTTATTAGCTTTAAGTTGGAAAGTATTATTAGAGGGAAATCATAACATTTGAAATATGTTGACCTTCAAGTTCTCCTCTTATTAGCTTTAAGTTGGAAAATGTTCTGCTAAGAGGAACACAAAATTCCAACTTTTTAGTTCTATTTTGTCAGCTTCTAAGGTCCTAATGTTCCTTGCCGTTTGGGATGGAGAGGATTGATGTGAGCAAAAAAGGAGGGCAGTTCAGCTTGCACATTGCCAAGCATTCAACTGTTGTCTTCAAGCCTATCAAGGCGTAGACAGTTTCAAATTGAAGCTTGTAAATATTTGATTTTATTATTAGCATGGATTTTTCTTCTTTAAATTGGGTCATGAAATATCAAATATGTGTGTCTGAGAAAGTTTGTACTCGAAAAGTGAATCAGTTTCTGTGATTCTAAAGATAGCATTGAAATAATAAGTGTATGATTTACTACATGTAAGAATATCCACTATCCTCGGTTATAACTCCTTTTGTTCAGAAAAATGCAACTACTTGGTCAAGTGTTGAGCAAAATAAATATACACTTCATTAATGAAGGGAAGGTTAGATAGCTTCCTAGACCAACTAAAAATTCGCATGAAAAAAAATAAATTCTTGTAATGTAGACAGCCTAAATGTTAGGCAAGTCGACCCGTCACATCTTTTGTAACAAAAAAATGCTTATGAAATGTCATACTTTTGTTTAGTCAAGATGTCTCTTCTACATAATTTTCTTCCAAAACTAGATTTCAATATCAAGTTTCTCCATAATCGAATGACAAATGGTCGTGATGCCCGACAAACCGTAGTCACAAATGCAAATGCAAGTTCCAGTAACAGAAAAACACAAGTTCGTTCATACAGAAAGACCAATAAAATGAACAAAGTACTCGCAGAGTACATAGCTAACGAAAGTGCCAAACGGTAGAGTTCAGTGTTGTAATACTTGCAGATAAATATGAAACAGCTTTCATCTAACTGATCATAGGACTGGCAGCAGGTGTATTGTCCAACAGGGAATCCTGGGGTGCAAGTTCTTCGTGCCATAGAGGATGAGTGTCGCCTGGGTAGAACTTTCTAGTGGCCCCGTCTTCGTTAATCTGCACAAAGAAGATTACAAGAAATTATAAAGTTGGGAAAATTTAGACACTGGTGAGAGGTTTGACCAAAGATGCTGAGCAAAAACTGTTAAGGGGGTGATTGTTTATGAATTCAACTAGTTTTTATTTGGTTTGTTTTTTTAACTATAATTAATTTTGAAAAAAATGCAGTATTGTTAGTTGTTAGTGGATATATTAAAATAATATTTAAATAAAATAATTAAAGTCGATTTGATGTAAAGTAGGAGAAAAATGATCGAAAGTGATGGTTAGTTAAAATTATGTGAGTGGATGAATAATGAATTAAAGTTGATGTGATGTGTAAGAATGATTGGTTGATATTATTTAATTATATTGATAATATTGAGGATAGTGGAGTTAAGTTAAGGTTGAGTTAAATTTGAGTTTTGATTAATATTTTTTTGAGTTAGAATCTATAAACAATCACCGCCAAGTGTTGCGCAAGTTATTAACATCGGTCAAAACATAGCAAAAACCTACGACATTCCTAATGCAATCTGAACAATGACAGGACAGAAGTGTTCTACTCATCCACAGTATAGTGGCTTGCAGTACGGGAAAATCCACATAGAAAATAAATGATAAACGGTTAAATCTCTCAGTTGTGTTCATGAGGAACAATGTTCTATTTGAGGGGTGGAATCAAGATTTGATCCAACTTCAACCGATTCACGATCAAGATAGTTAACTGGCTCCTATAATTTAACCAGAAGAGCATTGTTAATAATGAGAAATCAACTCACAGTCACAGTGCGAATAACACCACCACTGGCACCATCACGAGCAATGGCAAGAGAGACTGCCTTCACAACCAATTGCTGAGGAGTGAGGAGGTTGAAAAAACGTATTAAAGTTAGTCATTATCTTTTTTAGATGGTTTAATGTAGAAACCAAAAGTGTAATCATTGATATACAGACCTCAGCTTCTTCCCGAGTCATCCCTTCCCTCCACTCTTGATCAAAGAAACCATATAGATAAGATGAGCCAGATCCTAAGTCACAAAAACACATTTGTTATACAATATAAACATAGAAAAAGAATGGCTTGTTTCTGCAAATGCGTAAGACATAATTCACTGAAGTCACCACAGAAGTTAACCGCACACCTCCAATGGTAAAAGGCAGCTCTAAAACTGTTCCTCCCAATGGTACTCCATAAATTTTACCCCCATTGTACTTATCCCATCCACCAACAATCAGACCAGTTTGGAGCATATTCTGCAAAATCAAGAGATCACTATGCCCTCAAGCAAAACAACACATATAACACTGAGAATCATATCTAAATGATAATGCATGGACACACCACACAATATTTTCTTAAGGATGAGTTATTAACTGGTGGTGCCCATATTGCGTATTTTCATTGTCTTAAAGAGAGACATCAGTGGATAAAAAAATCAACTGCCATTACCGTGGTGGCACAACATTCTTACATAGCAAGGTTTAGGGCCTTTAGGCAATAAACATATTGGACATAATTGGACGTTGTTCCAATGCTAGCCACAGGTAATGATAAATGACTTCCTTGCAGAGCAATATGATTATAAATTCTGTTTATCACACCGATCTTCAATACCGTATCACTTAAAGCACCACAACGTTAACTTCTCATATGTTAGGCTGAAAGTAACTTTTCACTTCTCTGTTGATAAATTTAGTTCTCAATATGCAAGGTTAATTTAGTTCTCAATAAGAACTTATCACAAACCTTGTTATTGTAGGACAATAATCGGACAAGGTTTGCGGCAACCTTTACAGTTGCAGGCTGCCCGAGTTGTATCCTGTACACAACCAATAGTTACTTAATAACTTTTTCAGGAAAGATCCAAAGAGAGGCATGTACCACTTGTTGAGATCAATTACTATCATTACACCTAAAGAAAGTGTATCCACCAAAAGAGTAGCATGGCTGTTTTCAACTGATAGATGGCAGCTTAAAATTCAAGCTCAGTTCCTCATTTACTCATACAAGCAATAGATACTACAAAATAAGAGCTCACAGAACTGAGTGTATAGAAGAGACCAACGTAGTATATGGGGTTTTGTCATTCCACCCTACTCCAAAGTGCCAACAGAATTGCATTTCTATAGCATATAGCTTAACATCCAAAATTTCATCAAACAACTAATATCAACAAAAAAGTAAATAATATAAAGTAAATAATTGATAACACCTGGGGCCATTTCTAGGAAAGCAAACTAACACACTAACGGCTAATGCTTAACATCATTCTTTCTCATGCATGTAAAGCTATATATTCCTCATTGTGGTCTTAATGTTTTCCAGATGATTTGCATGAGCTCATATGAAGTAATTCTGAGGGCACAAATATACTGCATGTATGGAATAGCAGGAAACTACAACAGAATTATACAATCTTCGATATTCTTAATTAGAAGGACCACGTGATTTATCTCTTTTGTCTTATAGGCTGTGGCTTAAAGTCAGATGAGTCATAAGTCTTTGCTGATGTTATCTTTAAACACAAGGACTGTTAGGTCACGCAATTTCTAATCCCATCATAAACCGAACTGCTCCACATAATAAAGTAAAAATGTTTTAGCCATAGAAAACAGTTGCAGTAAGAACACAAGTTAATGATACATAGTGATAAAATAAGATAATATATTTCATTGAGACGTACGTGTGCTGATGGAGGTAATAACGCACATAATCCGAAACGATCTGTGAATCGGCCGCCTGGTCAAAATTACAATGAAAAGATTCACAACCCATTATATCCAATCAACAAATAAATAGCTCACCCCCAACTCAAGATTTATCCCCAATCAGCCATTTTTTTTCTCATTCTTTAAATCCTATTTATTTTAGGATCCCGTCTCTCCACCATACTAATTCTAACCAAAGAGCTCAACACAGAAAACGTCATAATACAAGCTGTGAGCTTTTTGCACCAGAGAAACTAAAAGAAGAATACGTAAAAAGTGCCCTGTACTAGACATAATAGGATCCAACATTCCCGTGGAAAGCCGTCATAGAAAGCTCAATATAATTAAATCCTCACCGAGCCCGAGCGACAGATATAGACATTATCCGTCAGCTGGGTGATCTTGTCGGATGCCCTATTCGCGACATACATACCTGCAAGGTTTCATTTACCTTTTAAACCTCGTAATCAAAGGAAACCTAGCTTGAAACGAAGAAAATAACTCAAGGGGCGGATCTTACCGGTGCTGGTGCGGGAGTCCGCCCCGAGAACAACACCGCCGTTGTAGGTGACGCCGATGATGGTGGTGCCCATCGAATGTGGCGCGTCGAGATCGCCTGAGGTCACGTCCATGGTGCTTATGGTGGAGAAATGGAGCGATCGAGCAAAGCTAACAGTGTACCTACTACCTCGAGAGTATGAGAATCCCTAAATATTGGGGGAAAATTTGGAAGATGAAATGGAATAAATAAAATCAGTTTTCTTGTCGCAAAAGCAGCAGGTCGCAAAAATTCGTTATTGCCATTTGACCCCTTCGATTTTCTTTAATTTCATTGCCACCAATTTAGACATGGCAAATTCCGGGCTTGCTCGACCAGCGACAGGTTCAAAATCACCGATACTGAATCGGCCTGCACCTAGGTACGTGTAGGGTACACGACCTAGCAGTCCATGCCAGGCTTGACTCAGAAAAAAAAAATATATATTCAAAACAATCTACCATTAAATTCTCGGGTCGGACCAGCCCGTCGGATAGGGGTGCACAAAGTTCGGTAAACCGAGCCGAACCAATCGAAATCGAAAATTCGGTTTAGACCAAAATTGAAACTGAATATTGTGTTCGATTTTCGGTTTATATTTTCTTAAAATTTCAGTTTTTGGTGCAGTTTGAATATTTGTGATTGTTTAACCGAACCGAACTGAAAACTGATTTATACACATATATGTATATACATATTTTTTATTTATACATATAAGTTATAAAAGAATTAATTTGCTAATGATTGATGATTTTTAAGTTTCAATGACCTCTAAAATAGCTCAAGCATTAATTTGCACTCAAGATTGGCTCGTCGCAGTCCAAGTCACGGTTTGGGTCCGAGATCTTTCTTTGAGAAGAATTTAGAATTTATTGAGAAGATTAAATGAGGTGATAATTTTATTTTTTTTGTTCGGATAAAACATCAAATTTTTTGTTCGGTTAGAAATTCAGAATTTATTGAGAAGATTGATTATTTATTGTTGGATTTTCGATTAAAACCGAATCGAACCGTAAATTTCAATTTGGTTTTCGGCTATGAAAATGGACAAACCGAATTTTCGATTGGTTCGGTTGCAACCGAATGACCAGTCCTACCGTCGGATCATATTCAGTCGACTCGACGAGTCATATGTTACATAAATATGACCCTAGACTGGCCAGGTTTGATTCTGAGCACGTTCCTCCCAATGGTCAACAAGTTTGACCGAGCTGGGTTCGTGCGGTTTTCGGGGTGAGTGACCCGTAGCCATGTCTAATCTTATACTTCATTATTTTTATTCAATATCCTTTTGCTTTTTTTTTTGTCCTTCCCTAAATGAGTTAAAGCAGTTTTTTATTTTTTTTTTCTTTTTACTTTTATCAACTCAAATATTTATAACTATCTATCATTTTCAACATTTCTCTTACTTTTATATTACATTAATTTTATTTATTATATTTTAAATATTATTTAATTACAAATTTAAAATTCCACCAAATCCTCCACTCAATTATAATTAACTCATATTAAACAATAAATCCAATCAAACCATTTTATGTATATGAATTGCCACCTAAAACGTTTTTTTTCCCTTTTGTTTGTTAATATAATTCCATAGTTTTGGTGGAAGGAAAAAAGAAAAAAAAAATAACAATAATAGTAGGAAAATTTGGAAAAGTATTACAAATGGCCAAGCTCTCGCTATCTTCAACCTCCCACTCGCGAAAACCCAGAGGCCGGCGAGAACATGCTGAGGCGTAAACCTACAAAAATCGAAGTCAAAGCCGAAGACAAAGAAGAACTCGAAGAAGCCCGCCGCCGTGCCGCCTCCGCCGCATCCGCCTCCTCCTCCACCGCCGCCTCCTCCCTCCTGCACCAACTCGATCGCCCTTCCCTCGACCCTTCCTCCAAATCCCACCGCATCGGCCTCTCCTCCTGAAACAAACAACCCCCCTTCCACCCGCACCTACCATCTCCCATCAATCAATCAATCAATCAATCGCCATGGAGATCGAGGTGAAGCTCCGTCTCCCGTGCAAATCCTCCCATCAGCGCCTCCTCTCCGTCCTCTCCCCCTTCTACGCCGCCACCCACCACCAGCACAACACCTTCTACGACGGCCCGGCCTCCGAGCTTAGCTCCAGGCACGCCGTCCTCCGCCTCCGGTTCCACGAGGACACCGATCTCCCCAAGTGCTTCGTCTGCCTCAAGGCCAAGGCCGTGCTGGCCGGCGGCGTCAGCCGCGTGGAGGAGGACGAGGAAGAGGTAGACCCCGCAGCCGGGAGGGCCTGCTTCGAGAGCCCCGGGAAGCTGATGGATTTGGATTCTAGGGTTCTGAGGCGGGTGAAGGAGGAATTTGGGGTCGAGGGTTTCGTTGGATTGGGAGGGTTTAAGAATGTTAGGAATGTGTATGAGTGGTGTGGGGTGAAGTTGGAGGTGGATGAAGTTCAGTACGAATTTGGGGATATGTATGAGGTTGAGTGTGAGAGCTCGGAGCCTGAGAGGATCAAACGGATGATCGAAGATTTCTTTAAGGCGAACGGTATCGAGTATTCTGATTCGGTCATGTCGAAGTTTGCGATCTTCCGAGCCGGGAAGTTGCCTTCTTGAGTGCAGTTTGAGCAGGTGCTTGTGATCTCAAGTATCTTTACATTTAGCCAAAACATTTGCATTAGCAGCCACTTTATATTACTTTGGTTTATGTCTGTTTTTTAAAAGAATGTACTTTTTCAGACTTATACAATGCCGTGCATATCAGTTGTTTGGCGTCATTTTTTTTAACTTTTCGTGACACTATTGCACATCTAAGTCTGGTGTCAGAATAAATCATGTGGTTCATCAATGTCAGTGTTCATTGCAGTTTGTAGGCCAAACAGCTCATTCGGTTTTGTCAGCCTTTATTTTCTGAATTCGATGAACTAGTTATTTGGTGAATTGAGATGGTTTGATATGAGTTCCTAACAATGCATTAGTTTGCTGTTGCTCGCCTAGTGATGAATGGTTGAGCTGATATTTTAATTTGAGCCTGTGACATATATGTATATGTTGGCTTGTTATGTCATTATATTTTGATCTTAACAAAATTTTGAACATCTTAAATGAATGTACCCTCCTTATGCTTTTGCCAAGCATCCAACTAAAAACAGACACCACATGAGGCTGATGTTATGCAATATCCCTTGGTTTTTCAAGTGAGTTTCCATTGTACGGGCTGCTTTGCAATCTACTAGCCATCATGCTTACCGAATCTTTAAACTCTTTCAGGTTTGATCTGGAGCTGTATGACATTCTTCTTCCCTCCACAATAACATTTGGATCATTTAAAGTTCTTTTTCATGTTGGGATGTACCTTCCCGCTGTTGTTGCACGTTTTCCTATTTTAGTTAGGGACTAATTACCTGTTTTGCTTCTTTGTCATTTCAAGACTTAGTCTTGCTCACTCTGTTGGCTTGTCATTCAATAAACTGTATTTTCTTTCATTGCTCCACGATTACTTCTGAATACATGTCATAATGTTATGTTGTCATTTATTTTGCACGTGGAAAAAAAGATTGAGCTTTCTGTGGTTTTTCTTCTGTATTTTCATAACAACTGCACAATAGCTGTTATTCAATCCAGTTTCAATCTTGTGGTCAGAGCTATTAAGTGAATTGAGCCAGTCGTGGACTCGGCTCGACAAGGCTCGAAAGAGTAAGAATGTTTACGTAATTTCTTGAACTATTAGGTTACCTCAGTTCGTTAAGGCTCGAACTCAGCTTGTTACTTTTGATAAACAAGCCGAGCTCGTTTATTGGCTTGATAAATTCTCAAGCTCGAGGTCGGCTCGTTTACAGCTCTACATATGTTTTATGTACAATTTTGTTATGCTATTGTGAGGTATCAAAAATGTAATTTAATTTGCAGAATTTGTCTTCTAATGTTGATTACTGACAAGAGAGGAAACTTATGTGCTCCTCCAATGGCTAATGTCATGAGGTAAATATTCCAATCAGAAGCTCAGTTTTTGGTCAACTTCTAATTTTCTATGCTTCTTTTCTCTTTCTTAATCAAAAGAATTAAATAACTAAATAGCATTAGCTTTAGCATAAAAATAACTAATAAATAGCATAATAATAACTAAGTAAGCAACCCGACTTATATGCTTTTCTAGTCCGCAGAACGTAGATAAAATGATACTAATAATCTTTACCATCGTAGCTCGAGTCAAATTCATGTATACAAGTGTACACATAAATTTCTACAAAAATAAAAAAACAAAAACAAGAAGAACACATGCAACTCCTCTCCTGATAACAATTGTCTCGTTCATTCATATCTCTAGTTCCAGACGAGCAATCAAACTCAAGTCCTCGTTATTTAAGGTCAGTTAGCCACTTAGCCCAAAAAATANTAAAAAAAAAAAAAGAAAAAGAAAAACTTCTTTCCAGTTAACCAATATGTAAAGGAAAACAAAATTTAAAGCATAGGTATATTTAATATATGTCGAAAGCAGACAGAAACCGAAAGGGTAATTCACATTGACAACAATCCTATCTGGGAAAAAGCTAATCAAACATCTTCATGCCAAGTCTTCTCTTCTTCTTCATCTTTTTTCCCCTCTTAACCAAGCTATATGTATAGAACTTTCACACACGTGTGCATGCACACACGCACGCACGCACGCACGTCTCTATATATTGATCGTCTTGAAATCGTCCGAAAGCCCTCTCGATGACCGCATATCTGCCTCGCTGGCATACGACGAGTAGAAGTCGTCATCGCCCTCTTTTTCCCCCACCTCATCGATCTTCTCTATCACCTCTTTGATCTCGGGACGCGCGTTCGGGTCCGCCTGGCAGCAGCTCAGCCCCACTCTCAGCAGCCTCATCATCTCCCCTCGGTTTGCGGGCCCCTCAACATCCTGGTCGAGCTCCTCCAAAGCCAAGTCATCGAGCTCCCCGCTATCCCACGTGGATTTCCCGGTCACTGTCTCGAGTATGAGTACTCCGAGGCTCCATATGTCGGATTTCCGCGTGATCCGGCCGCCGGATTTGCTCGACTCGGGTGATTTGTGGGAGACCATGTTGGCGCGCGCGTGGTCCGGGTTGATGATGGGGAGTAGGCCATAGTCCGTGAGGAGTGGCTTGAACGAGGAGTCGAGGAGGACGTTCGAAGATTTGAGGTGGCCGTGTGGGGCCATCAAGCTCGGGAGCTCGTGGTAGAGGTATTGGAGGCCTCTTGCCACGCCTTTGATTATGTTGAGCCGGGTGGGCCAGTCGAGGGTTGGCTGGCCTTTGGATTTATTGCCTACGTGAAAAAGGAGAGATAAGTTTCGGTTGTAGATAACGAAGCGCAGCTTGGTGGTAAGACGCTTCACCTATAATCAATAGGTGGGTTCGAGTCCCCAGGAGGGGAAATGGGAACACTATTGATCTTTCTTTAAAAAAAGAGGAAAAAAAAATCGGTCGTGTCATGTGTGTACCGTGTGGCGTTTGAATGCGCACACACGAAGCATGAGAAAAAGTGCATACCGTGAAGCTGCTCGGCAAGGCTGACGTTCGGGACGTATTCGGCCACGAGGAGCTTCTCCTCCTTGCGATAGTAAAAGGCGATGACGGGGAGCACGTTGTCGTGGTCGAGCCTCCCGAGCCGCCTCATGTGCTCTACGAACTCCTCACGGCTAACCGTGTTCATTTGCCTAAACCTCTTGACGACCATTACTTTCCCGCTGTCGAGGGCGGCCTTGTACGTCGACCCGCACGACCCGCTCCCGAGCACTTCCGCCGAAGCCTTGAGAAGGTCCGACATGTCGAACCTGTCCCCACCCTCCCTAAGGAACGTCAGACGGACCCCGGGCTTCCCAGGACCCGTCTCGGGGGACATCGAGCCCTGGCCCCGCTCGACCTGGTCCAGGTCACCTGGGCCAGGTCCGTCCTTGTTGGCGGCGGCTGAGGTGGCGGTCTCGTTGGGGTCGGGTTGAGCGGCGGGTTTCTTGCGGCGGTGGAGGATGACGACGACAGCTAGGAGGGCGGCCACGGCCACGGTCACGATGACGGAGACCGTGATGATGGTTACGAGAGGTATGTGTCTCTTGATGGTGCATGGGTCGAGGGGGGCCCCACATAGGTCCAAGTTGCCTATTTTTTCGGACACATCATCATGTACACGCGTCATTTATTCTGTATACTAGCATTACAGAGTCGAATATGAATGTGAACGAAAATGAGATAAAGAAAATGTATTTTGAGAGAATGAAGGAGGGTCATATCCATATAAAACACGACTAGAAAATATAATAATTAATATTTTTATTCTTTTACAAATACAACATTCACATTTAAGTATTATTTACGGTGTGATTCATGTCATTTATATTTAGATATTTAAAAATTATTTCATGCTTTTACTTCTTTGTACATGCATCTATCTAGATTTTTCGAGTACCTCATTTTTGAATTCGTGCTCGTTTGTTAATAAACAAACGAAAAATTCATATAATCTCGGTTTAACTCATTTAATAAACCAGACCAAAACTCAAAATTCTAGCCGAATTGATCGCGAACACAAGCACAATTTGTTGTTCGAGTTTCACTCGTTTAAATAACATTTCAATTAAGATTTTGATCACTGATTTTGATCCATTTCAATAAAATCTCTATAAGATATATTTTTTCAATCCAAGAAATTGAGGAGGAAAAAATAAATTGTTCCAAAAAAACCCACCTGAAAAAGATGAAGCATTAAGATGTCCAACCCCAAGTGGGATCTCCCCAATCAACTGATTGTTGGACACATTGAAGTCCCTCATCCTCACCTGCTGAAACTCAGGTATCTCCCCTTCAAACCCATTGTTCTCCAGCCTTAGCTCCACCAGCTTCGGCAGCCGCGCCAGGCCCACCGGTATTGGGCCCACAAACCGATTATTCGCCAGGTGGAGCTTCTTCAGCGACATCATCCCGTCAAATGTATCAGCCGCTATCTCCCCCGAGAACTTGTTGTTCGACAGGTAGATGCTCTTGAGGGCCCCGAGCTGCGACAGGCTGGGCAGAGGCCCGTCCAGCTCGTTGTTCATCAGGCTCACGGTCCGCAGGCCCGTTAGCCGGCCCAACGAGTCGACATCAACAGTCCCTCCCAGGCCCATGTTTTCAAGCTTCAGGCCCCAAACGACCCCTCCTTCGCAAATAACACCGGGCCAGCCGCTGCAGGGTGGGCCTGGCCCGGCCCATTTGGAGAGGGCTCCGGTGTTTGTGAGGGAGTCTTTGAATTTGATGAGGGTCTCAGATTCGGGGTCGCTGGAGGCTAAGGTGACGAGGTGGAAGAAGAGGAGGACGAGTGTGGAGCTCGTGGCTCGTTTTCCGGCCATGGTGGCGCGCACGTGCGGGTGCGCGCGGGCCGTGGGGCGGTGGATTGGGGATCTTTTGGAGGGTTTGTTTGTGGGGGAAGAGAGGGAAAAATGGGAGCTTGTGGTCATGGAGGGTGTTTTCAAGAATAGTGT